AATGCTTTCTGCAGCCGGCTTTAGGCCACAGCGGCCCACCCTTGCCCCACGGGCTGAACTGGGAGCCCCTCTGTCTGTCCTCCATGTGGCCTGGGCATCTCTCCGCCTTAGCACTGACCTCCCTGGCTTATCATAGGAGGCTCAGCTGCCTCCTCCCCTAAGGACCACAGGACAGGAACCTGAGTTTCCAGCCCGAAACAGGAGCCCCGCCCAACACCTAGCACAGCGCCTGGCACTCGGTTAGAGCTCAGTAAACATGTTACCGCTCAGGAAACTCCTTCTCATCGGAGCTGGAGAAGAAGAGGAGGGACAGAGAGCATCATTGCCCAAGTAACAGAAATGTGCCACCACCCAGGTCTTCCTTTTAGGCAGCATCTCCAGCTATTCCTCCGCCTCACACCAGCCTTCCAACACCTGGAATGAAAGCGCCACTTCCGGGTCCTCTGTCTGTGCTCATCTGAGCTGGGCAGCAGCCGAGCCTTCTAACCAGCACCTGGCTCATGTCACCAGTGCTTCGGGCCGGGAGGGTGAAGCGGGAGTCATCCCTGGAGAGGGATCATGTGACAAGCACAACCCGAGACGCGTTGGAAATCCGACGTGGGTAGAAGGATGTGCACCAGACCGTTTTACGTAGAGCAGCAAGACCCTGCACTCTACGAACTGATGCCTGGTCACATAAATCAGGCCACAGTCACAGAATGGATAGTATTCATATAATGGAATGTTGTGCTACCATTAGATCGTATTTTAGCAAAATAGAGAACAGCCTGGGGAAATGCACCCAGTATATCCAGCAAAAAGCAGATCACAGAATGGGACGTGGTCACTATTTTACCCATTGTGGGTATACAGAGGACTTAAAGAAATAGACCCAAATGTTACACCATCTATTTCTGGGGGATGTTGATTTTTAAAGTCTTATTTGAACTTTTTCATATTTTTTTTATTTTGTTTTACCACAGACATGGGTTACTTTTTGTCATTTTCAAAACAGCCTGTTTTGAAATTACAAACGGAAGAGGCATGTTATTCGCCAACGGGAAGAAGCTCTTCTGCTCCTGCCCTCGACGGTCAAGTTCAAGCTCTCGACCGCGAAGCCACCCAGGGTGCCACTGGCTCCTCGTTATACTTATCCCCACAGCCCAGGAAGTTCTGCCCGAAAGTGAAGTGGCAGCCGGGCCCCTGCAGGTCAAAATGGGAGCCCTTTTATTTGGGGTGCGTGTCTGCAAAGGAGCCACCCCGGAAACGCTGTGGGCAGCAGGTAGCTCTGGGGGCGCCGGGAGCAGCCATGTAGGGGAACCCCTTCTTCTCGGCAGGAGAGAGCTGGTCTTGCTTCTGTCACTAACTGTGGCCACAGGCCATTCGACTTCAAATTCAAAAGAAAAGCTGACATCTGCCCCGCCCCCCTTGTAGGCCTGTTCTAGGGTTCAACACAATCCTGGGTGCGCTGTATGCTGTAAGCTACGACCCACCCAGTGAATCAATGTCTGCCCGCCCAAGAATGTGTACTTCATAAGATAATGATCCACGCTCCCAATTTTTTTTTTTTGCAAGAAATCATGAGAAGCGATCTATATTTCCTCTCGCACTCTAGAAAAGTTACCAGGAAGCTTATCGGCCACAGTGAACTCATTTATGTTTCCCTGTACCTGTGCCCTGTGTAATGAAAACGACGCTCTGTGTCCACTCAACTTGCTGCTTGCTTCTCTTGGGCACATGGACAGACTGACTCTCCCAGGCTCCCCGGAGGGAAGGTGGGGCCAGGAGCCTGGGCTCTTGCCACTGGAATGTGGATGGACGTTAACGACACCCTTCCAGGCTGGGCCCCCAGCGTCCCTGTGAGATCCTCCACACTCCCTCTTCCCTGCTTCCTGCTTCGTATACCGGGTGCATTTTCCCATGCCATTATCTATTTTGCTGAAATGCGATGTCTAATGGTAGCGTAATATTCCATTATATAAGTACTACCCATTATAGGAATGGGTCCTAATTTATGTGACCAGGCATCGGTTCGCAGAGTTTAGTGTTTTGCTGTTCTACGTAAAATGGTCTGGTGCATATCCTTCTACCCAGGTCCTGGCTGGTTGTGCGAGATCTGGCGGAAGGCACTGAGGCCCCGAGGCCCCTGCAACATGTTGGCATGTTAGGTAGGAGAGCCTGAGTCCCTACATCTCAGTGGAAGGCCACCCCCCAAACACCAATACAACAGAGATATGAGAAATACATACCCCAAGCTCATCTGTTACACCAGTTATCTTCCCTGACTGATACACTGCATGACCCTGGGCACCTCTCACTCCACAGTGACGGTCAACGCTTTCGCAGGGGACAAAGGGAACACATACGGTAAACCCAACCCTCGTCCAACAGAAAACTCAGCCAAGGAAAATTAAGATAATCTGTTTAGATTCCTTGGGAGATTTAAGACCTGCTCTCTTATTCCTATAGGAAAACTTGGAAGTCTGTGCTAACTTCAACAACTGAGAAAAGATAATGACCAAAGTGGAAACCTGTGTGGTAACCTCACGGCAAACAGCAAAGGGTTATGGTCCCTTGAGGTGGGAGAGGTTGGTAAGGGAGTCTACACCTCCTGTAGACACTGTGGACAATGGAAGCAGAGTGTTATCGTGGGTCAGTGGCTTCTCACGTGTTTTATCCGTGGTTAGCAATGTCCACGGGGGCCACGTGGAAGCATCAGGCTCTGAACTTGGGAGTTTCCAGAAGCACAATAGTGGAGAAAGCCAGCGTCACCTGCCCACTTCTCTGCTTTGACTCCAACCAGCCCTGCTCTGCCTTGCTCAGGCGCTACTCACCTGGTAGGGGTACAGGGTGACCCCGTTGGTTCTTGACAGGGACCAGGTGCCATCCAGGTACTGGTGAGCCTGGATGGCCACGGCGTTGAGGATGTTCCCATTGCTGGGGCTGGTGGCCATCTGGAGGCTGACCTTGGCCTGATGGGTGGGGGACACACTCTTCTTCTCGGCCCCATTGCTGACGCCGAGGCTGTTGGGTTTGCCGTTGTGCTTGCTGGTGACGAAGGCCGCATAGTTGGAGGAGGCGTAGGAGACGGGCACGAAGGCCCAGTCCCGGGGCGGCTGCAGCCCGCCCCCGTGCCGGGACCCCCCCAGCGCGGGGATGCTGGGCAGGGGTGGGGGTGAGCCCGGGGAGCCGTCGTAGTGCTCGCTGCCCGCCGCCTGCTCCAAGGTCACCACCATCTGGATGGCCTCCTGCTTCAGCTGGTTCAGGTGCGTCGCACAAATGTCACAGCGGTTGTCCCTGTCATTCCAGGCCTTCCGGGTGGTGTTAGGGACCTGCAGCTTGTCGTGGATGACAGCCGAGAAGGCCGGGTCCTGTGGAACACACAAGCAGAACCAAGGGGAGCCTGGTGAGCACGCTTCAGATGCCGGTTTACATACACTAAGTCCTAGAGTTACATACACTAAGTCCTAGAGCAGTGGTTCTCAACCTTCCTAATGCCGTGACCCTTTAATGCAGTTCCTCATGTTGTGTTGACCCCCAACCATAAAATTATTTTCATTGCTACTTCATAACTGTCATTTTGCTACTGTTATGAATCATCATGTAAATATCTGATATGCAGGATGTATTTTCATTGTTGCAAATTGAACATAATTAAAGCATAGTGATTGATCACAAAAACAATATGTAATTATATATGTGTTTTCCGATGGTCTTAGGCGACCCCTGTGAAAGGGTCGTTCGACCCCCAAAGGGTCGCGACCCACAGGTTGAGAACCGCTGTCCTAGAGTTACCCAAAGCGCTGGATTGACATCCCACAGAAATGAGCACAGGAATGAGGCAGAAGAGCCCCCAGGTGACAAGCACATTTCACAAACACGAGGTTTTTATAGCAGAGACTTAAGAAATTGTTAAAAATGAAAGATTTCTAAGCACCCTCCTTGCCAGGCCAGTCAATACATTCCAGGTTCTTCTCCTTGTGTCTGAAGGATCATGACCGCACCTGGGTTCCCCACCATGTCACTAGTAGGCACACATGTTAGTCCAGGCGCGGCGGGCTGAGCACAGTCCTTCTGGACAACTGCCCTGTGACCCGGCCCCTGGGAACCATGGGAAGCTGGTAAGGAATGGAGGTGCTGCCCGTGACCCCGAGCAGAGATTCTGTTCCAGGAAAACCTTGGCCTCCTGAGCTCCGTGTGCCACGTGCCACTGGGAGAAAACCAAACTCAACCAAGTCTGGCCCGATGCCCAGCAAGCTCCAGCGGCCAGCCAACCTCGCCTACTCACTCTGCTGACCTCTGAGGGGCACGCTGGCCGTGCCTGATTCCGAGTCCCGATATCCTGATCAATCAGAAGAAAACTATCCCCTTGACAAACAGCCCAAGTTACTGTCCCCACAAAGTTCATCTAAAACTACTGTTAAAAACTCTTTAGCGCCGAAGCCCTGACCCAAGAGAGATCAGGAAATTACTGAGGACGCTTTCTTTCATTTCCTTTGCTTTAATTTTTCCAGGAAGGCAGGATTGCACAGAGAACTAAGCAGCAGGTGTGTTAACTGGGTATCAAAATATGTGGGGTCCAGCTCCAGTTCTGCCACGAATTAGCTGTGTGACCCTGGACAACTGCCTTAGCCTCACGGACCTGTCATCAGTCACACATACCTTTGTCATCAGGCCCTTCTGGCTCCATTTGTAGGGAAACTGGGACAGAAGAACACAGTGCCTATCCTTGTGGACAGAGCGACCCGGCCATATCTGGGGCCTGGTTGAACTTTCGAGATTCAACAATTGTTGCAAATAACTGATGAGGCTTCTCTCGAGGCCTATCTTCCTCAAGGACCCAGAAGAAAACCTGCCTTTCTGAAACCTGCTGTCAGCCATCAGGGCCGAGCGGGGCTGGGTGAGCTGAGGGTGAGGGAGGGGGCGTGAGTCACCAGGGCGGCAGGAAGCTCAGCGGCGGGAGGGCCGTTCTTCATTACGATCCATCTTGATTACGGTCCCCAGCATCTTGTTTTCCTTGTTTCACTACCCTGAACAGCCCCTCAGCGTGCACTGATTAATTGATTAATAAATCAAGAGGCCTCTTTACCCAGCAGCAGGGAGGAGTGGCTCCGGAGGTAGAAACTCGAGACAGTCAGATGAAACGATGGGGAGCAAGAGGAGGTCAAGGTCGGTCAGGTCCGGCTGACAAAGTGACGCAGACCAAGGAGGCCTGCCCGCGGGGTCCGTCTCAATGCCGGTGCTCTGTCCACAGTCTCAAAGGGCAACTCAGAGCACGTGGGACCCACAGGGGCCCTTCTGGACCATCCCAGAGCAGACCGTCCCCTCCGCCTCCAGATGAGCACACTGAGCTCCAAAGGGTTCAGAGCTTGGACACGCCCAGACCTCTTGGCCACGAGTCCATAGTATTTCACTTCAAGAGCCCAAGAGCGGTCTTCGTCCACGGACTCACACTTTTTACACCAACATCTGAGGTTTTCTCCCCATTCATCTGGGAAATGGTCATTTGTTCAAAAGGAATTTATTTGGGCCCCCATATGGGTCGAGATATAGCCTCTTGCTTTTCTTCACATAACATTACACAAGGAGAATCTTCCCGTATCAGCAAATGTCATTTGGAAATGTGGTTTTTAGTGACCGCGTGGTGTTTATCCTTTAGGTGTTTCATAATTCATTTATTCACTTCCACCTTCCACCATTGTGGTGAGAGAAATTGGAGACGGCGGTGAGAGAAATCAGAGACCACCATTCAAAACCAATCCGCAACCCACGGCTTCTGCTATCAGGCACCCACGGACTGGGTTCGAGAAGCCTCTGATTGCTCACTTAGAATGCTTGTGACCCCAGTCACGGGCAGAAGCGTCACAAGAAGAAGGCAGACACACGGCCAGGGCCATCGGCACGTGGCAGTTGATTTTAGGTCCTTGTGGAGGCTGCACCGACTCGGGCATCTGCAGCTGGATGGCACATCTGCTCTACAGAACCGCCCTGAGCCTGTTCCCTCTTCTTCTTGGTTTCGACTACTCTCCCTGGAGGCGGTG